TTTTTAGAGCAGAGAAGGGCCCATTCAAATGAAACAAAAACACCTAAAAATGTGATGTGGTATTGTAGCTTAAGTGTGAATGGGGGCTTAGCATATGCACTTGGGATGTGTCTTTGCTGGTTATATGGAGATATCGCTGCTGGATTGGGCTCTCTCTTTGTTATGTGGGGATGTCCGTTTGCTGGATTGGGATGTCTCTTTGCTAAATATATAGAGATGTCTCTGCTAGATTAAAGAATTGGGTACCAATCACTTTCTGAAATTAAATAATAGATTTAATACTTATGTGTCAGAGGAAAAGACGAGGAATCCCAGGCAAATGCGCCAATACGCAATATGGCCGCGCCAATTCATGCAAAGAAGTGTGCATAGGCGGGCGACACATAATAAAGCATTCCTGTGCACAAAAAACACACCAGCTCACGCAGGGTGCACTAATCGCTGACACTCAGTGGCCTTTATAAGGACTGCAGCTCTGCTTAGTGATTGCTGGATTATAGTCAGCCCCTCCCGTTCCTGTGTTTCCTGCTGATTTCCTGTTACCGACCCGGCTTGATCCTGACCTTGTTCCTGTCTGCTGCTCTGTGTATGATCCCGGCTTGCTCCTGACCTTGTTCCTGTCTGCTGCTCTGTGTATGATCCCGGCTTGCTCCTGACCTTGCTCCTGTCTGCTGCTACTCTGTGTATGACCCCGGCTTGATCCTGACGTTGCTCTTGTCTGCTGTTCCATATTGATCCTGGCTCTGGCTACACTACCCATCCTCTGGGATCCACATGTTCTCTGGAGAAACTCCTCCTGCAACTGGAGCACCCATGGGTTCCATCTTATCAGACATTTCCAAGCAGCAACCCGTGCTTCTTTGGGCACTGAACCTCCTGTTTCCACCTCCAGGGGCACACTGCACTTAGCCGTAAGGGGAGCCCTCTCTCTATTGCAGCCTCCAGTCAGGTACGTGACATTATGCATCATAGGAGAGAAGGTAAGGGTCACAGGAAAGGGCCTTTAAGTTGGTACTGACACTCCTGTTCACTACAATCCTTCACTAGACATTTTAGACAACAATCACATTTCTCTTTAGGAGAGTCCACCAGCTTCTACTTGGGCTCCATCCTCACTCCAGACAGGGACAATTCCAAGCAGTCACAGACAAGCCTTTTCAAGAAGGCCTAAAGAAGCAGCTCCAAATACATGCATCCTCCCCAAGCATACTCAAATATGCAGCCCCACTGAACTGGGCTTTTTTCTGTAGGACCACATATTTGAATATCTGTCTTTCTGCTGTGAGTGCGCTGTATGGCGTGCTTCCAGCACAGAGAAGGGGGTCTTACTGAGAGCCCCAGGTCCCATACTAACAATCGGGACCCAGAACTCACGATTCCGGGTCACCTGATCGCTGTGATAGCCTCAGAGATACATTGTATTTCTCTTTCCTTGTGAGAGAAAAAAAAATGCACAATATTGTTTTTGGGCTGTACTACGGGTACAAACAACAGTTAACTTACACATATGTGGTATCACTGGGATCGACAGGAGCAGAATTTTTTTTCTCTTAATAGTTTCTATTAAGGTAGTACACAAGATAGTACAAGAACCTTAACAGATATTTTAGTAGCAACATATTGCAAATAATGGTAGAATACACTCACAAAAGTATCAAACTGAGACAAAATAAAAAGTATCATTCCCTCGTCAGGCACCTGGATACCATATAGAAAGTTTAGTATGAGTAGAAGGAAGGTCTCAGGTTTTCTGCATTTCAGTCACTAATACGTGCTAGAGCGATTAGTATTATGTTTATCATTATCTACGGTAACTATCCTTGAACATAGAACCAAAAAAAAAAAAAAAGGGGCATGAGGGAGGCATGGTCTGCCACACCGCATTCATGTAAATTAAATCATGCATAGCAGTGGGGCGCCTGTCAGCTCCACAAAAGATTGTATCGGGGGTTAGTTTCATTTCTCCAGGAGACCAAGATCTCTGGGAGGTTGAGAACACGTTGTTTGTGATCAGATAACTAAGTTCCAGTAATCATCTGAATTTTTATAATGGATCCAGCAGGCCCACGTCTTATAATAAGATGAGTATCCATCGCGAGCCATGGCGATCAACTCCTCCATTTCAGCTATCCTGTCAATTCTCGTAAACCATTCTCTAAGATAAGGCACAGTGGTTTGTTTCCAGTAGTGGGGTATACACATCCTGGCTGCTGTCACCATGTGCATAGCGAGTGACTTGTGATATTGTCGACCCATGGAGAGTGAGCAATTTAGTAGGTATTGAAGGGGGGTAAAATTTAACTGGTAGGAGGTGACATCCTGCACTATCTTACAGTACGGTTGTAACTCTGAGCAGTCCCACCAGATATGCAATTTCGAGCCTGATGCTTGATTGCATCTCCAACAGCAATCAGGCATTTCTGGATATATCTTATTCAGAAGGTTTGGGGGGTTCGGTACCAATGGGAGAAGATTTTAAAACTATGCTCCTGGACCGATACATTGACTGCGCCTTTGTGTAAGGTATTGAGGGCTTGTTCCCTATTCGCTGTAGGCAGTGGAGTATTCAAGTCCATTTCCCATTTGTGTAACTGTCTAATAGTAGTATCAGGTGAGTCATGTGTCAATTGAATATAAATCAATAAGATCAAATGTAGTCGGGAGCTTTTGTAAAGACAAAGTGTCTTAAAGTAAGTTGTCTGCCGCACGCCAACTGGTATGGTGACCTAGACAAGAAATGTCCGATCTGTAGATAGGGCCACCACTGAAAGGGTGGCCGAGAATCTTTGTTAGCTAAATCCATTTGCGGTCGAAAAGTGCCCTTCTGAAAAAAAAATCTCCAGCCCCGACATAGGAGGTGGCGAGACATGTCCTACGAAAGTTGGGTTGTAGGCCTGGGGGGGGGGGATGCTGGATTGCCTATAAGAGGGGTCATCGGGCTCTGTATGGAAGACAATCTCTGGTCTTTACAGACCAAATGGAAGCACGAGAGTGTTACGCCTATTAAGGGATGAGCCAAGAGATGTTTTGCAGTGGTCAATGCTGGCAGCCAAGGATGTTAGTGATCCATCTGCTAAGTCCTGTTTCAGACCTACCCAGTCCTTTGTCTGTGCATGTATATGCCAGTCCACCAGTTTCATGAGCAGGTAGGCCCTATGATATGACCTCAGGTCCGGCACTTCCATCCCCCCCTGGATTTTGTGTCTGCACAGCTGTGTCATGCTCATTCTTGGGGTACTGCCCTTCCAAATAAAACTGGAGAACAGTCGTTGTATCGTTCGGAAAAAGGTCTGAGAGAGAGTGATGGAATGGCCTGAATAAGATATAAACAGCGTGGAAGTATGGTCATTTTTATCGGTGCCGCTCTACTGAACCAGGATAAATGCAGGCTATTCCATTGTTCCAAGTCTCCTTCGATTTTGCAAAGGAGAGACTGGAAGTTGAGAGAATAATTCCAAGAGAGATGAGGGCAGAAAAATGCCTAAATATGTGATTCCCTTGCACTGCCAAGCAAATGGGAATTCACGTTGACAATGTGCAACTGCCTCTTTTGGGAGCGTGATATTGAGGGCATGAGATTTTGTGAGGTTTAATTTGAAATTAGATCATTGGTATGCTAGCGCAGGAAGAGTTGTTAAAGGGCATGAGAAGAATATCGTCCGCAAAAGCTGCTACTTTGTAAACATGCAAACCAATTGTTATACCGGTGATGTCTGGGTCTGCCCGAATCTGTCTCAGAAAGGGTTCTAATGTTGGCACAAAAATAGAAGATAAGGGGCAGCCCTGCCTTGTTCCATTCGGAACCGAAAAGGCATTGGACAATAACCATTGACTTTCACTGAGGCAGATGGATTGGAATATAAGGAGCCAATGAAGGTCCTCATTATTGGCCCCAACCCAGTGTTTGATAGAGCTGCTGCCATGTAATCCCAAGCTACTCTATCAAATGCTTTCTCTGCGTCCATTGAGAGAAAGAACCCAGGGGAGTCAGAGAAAGTCAGCCAATGGTGTATGTTCTATGCTTTAATTGTGTTGTTGCGTCCTTCTCTGCCTGGGATAAAACCCACTTGATTCAAAGACACCCATTACTTTAGGTGAGGGAGTAGACGGTTTGCTAGAACGTTTGTGAACAGTTTCACATCCACGTTTAACAGGGATATTGGGAGGTAGTTTTGGACTTGTGTGGGGTCTCTCCCCAGGAGCAGAAGAATTTATTATGGGTTGTTCTTTGGTGGTAACTTATGGTAGTAGTAAGAAAGATATAGCTAAATTAAAAAAAAAAAAAATTTCTTACGGTTTTGGGCCACTTTTACCTTGATAAAAAAAAGGTTAGGAGATATCACTTACCACCAAATGAAAGCCCTATTTGTCCTGAAAAAAACAAGGTTTAAACCACCTGGATGCACAAAGTAGTTGTGATGATATGTATGGTTTTACTAACACATGTCATAATTGCAAAATTGTGCTTAGGCATTAACATTTGTTTTACCGTTAGGCACGAAGGGGTTAAGCTGCATTGATTAATCCTGTGTGGAGTTGATGATAATGTATCTGCCAGTCTGATCAATCAATTTTTGTGTAGTCTACTTTCTGGTTAGGAAACCACAATGACCCTTTTTCACATTGGTACCAAAAGCATGCAGAGCTTGCAAACAATCAGTATCCAGGGGAAGTGACAAACTTATGTGTGAGAAATGTGACAAAGCATGTGACCAGCCAATACCAGGGGAGCATCAAAAAGAGAAAGAAAATTCAGGGTCAGCTTTTCCTTAGTTTGAAATGACAGATGCTACTAAAAGGAATGCTTGTCTACAGAATAAGTGTAAATTCAAAAAGGAAAAGTTCTGCACCAATATAAGGGCAGCTACATGAATGTCATTAGTCACTGCTGTACAATATACATTTTAATGTAAGCCATTCTAATTTGTTTTTCCATTCCAGTAATGAAGCAGCAGCAGAACACCATCTTCAAGACAGAAAGGGAGGTGCGACGGAGACCTAAATTCTTGCATTTTGAGAATGTAAAGAAGTTGAGAGGAAGGTAAAGTATTTCATATTTACACTATATGGGCAAAAGTCTGTGGACACCTGACCATCACACACTTGTGAGTTTGTTGGATATCCCATTCCAAAACTATGGTCATTAATATGGGGATGCCTCTTCTCCCCCTCCTTTGTAGCAATAACAGCCTCCACTCTAATGGAAAGGCCTTCCAGAAGATTCTGGGGTGACTGTGGAAATTTGTGTCATTTATGTGCTCATGTACTGATTTAGGATGAGAAGATCTGAATTGTGATTTGCACGGATTCCTTCCAAAGGTGTTCAGTAGAGTAGAGGTCAGGGCTCTGTGTAGACCACTCCACACCAAACTGGTCACACCGTGTCTTTATAGAGCTGACTTTGTGCACAAAAGCATAGTAATGAGCCTTTTTCACCAAACTGTTGCTACAGTAGCAATAAAGGATACGTTCACCTTTATACAAAAAATATGCACATTTTGTTGCAGGTAAAAAAAAAAAAGTGCATTTATTATTTTTTTTTTTTGCAGGAACCTGTAAACTATTGCAGCAATGATCAGCAGATTGCTGGTGCCATGAAGGTCTGCTGCAGATCTGTCATTATATCAGCGTGCCCATATGGGATGTATGGGCAAGCAGATATACTGAAAGGAAGACTCCATGAACTACCATGGCGCTCCACAGTGCCGTGGTATTTCACTGAGAACTACAAGCCGACCATCGCTAAGGCTGATGGGACTTGTAGCTTCTCATTTGCAGAACACAGTGAATTAAGGACACGGCTAGGCAGGCAAAGCCCTGCACAGCCATGGTTTTTTAAATTTTACAGCACGTGAGGGGAGAGAAGATCCCCCGCTAGCTGTCAAAGCGGGGGAGCAGGGGCCGGAGTATTCATAACATGTTACACACTGAATATGGGTGTAACATGTTATACAAAAGGTGAACTGATCCTTTAACAGCACCTTTCACTGGAAAAACCTGAACACAATCATTTGAGGGATGTCCACATACCTTTGGTCATATAGTGTACCAAAAACCTAATTACTAGCTGTGCAACTAACAAAGGATTTGAAGCTGTTGGTGAAGACACCACTAGATGGTGCACAACTACCATCTGTTATTTGCTTTCATTTACAGCACAAAGTCCGACCTAGCTAATTCACTCCTATGGACGCTGGACCTTCCAACAGATTGGACAAAAGCACATATGCCAGATGTCAGAGCTATGGTATGTTGGATGGAACCTTTAACAAATGAAGAAGCCCTATAAACACTATGGAGTCGATTAAAAATTAGCTGTCTCAACATTCGTTCAAATGTAAAACATAATTCCTGCAATGTATGTAATATGTGCGTAATAGTTTCCATGTTGAGTTTTGCCTGGGCATATGTAACAACCCTGAAATTTGATCCTAAAAGAAAACTAGCTTAAAAGCATTCAACCATGAGAGTTAATAGGCTAAGAACATTCAACCAGCAGGAGACATAATATGAGGCGGACTTCTGCACTGTGTATAGTCTATGAAGAATCTTGTGTGAATGGCCAAACAACTGTTCACACATATTAAAAACATTACAGGAATTATTCACCACATTTGCAAAGCAAAGTTTTTATAAACAGGCCCCTAAATGTGACATGTTCTCATATTTTAACTATTTCACACATCATTTCAAAGTATAGCCAAAGCTGTTAAAAAGATTCAATTTATTTTGTTCCCATGGTTCTAATTTCCAGGCATCAACAGGTGTTTGTTTTTTTCTTTCTATATATGGCTGCAGTTTTCTTTAGTATTTTAACATTAAAGTGATATAAAAAGGCAAGAGTTAGAGTTTTATTGTTAGTGAGGAGGGCCGAGTAGCTGCCCAGGTGTAATAGTTAGAGGTGTATTAGTTGAGGTCAGGGCTGAGATGCTCTGTTCCCTGATACCTCCCCCTGCTCTAGAGATCTTGGAGAAGATTCTAGAAGCAGTGGGTAGGGGGGTGTGAGGAGGGGCTGGCCTGCACACTTAGGGGACCTTGGCCAATCCCCAAGCAAGAGGCATGGCATGGGGCCAGGGAAGCCCTTAAAAATGTGGAAGGGCCTGCTCTGCAGGAGGAGAGTTCTGGTGGATGGTAAAGTGAGCAGGAGTCTGGGAAGGGGTACAGATGGGAAGGGGCTCACCTACAGGCAGGAGAGCTGGAAAGGAGGAAATCTCAGGACCTCATCGGCCCCCAGAGCAAGGACCATCTGTGTAGCAAAAAGGAATGGCCCAGCGAAAGGACAGAGCAGCCACCGACCCATTAGCTCACAGACAGAGGGAGTAGACCTACACCCCCTGCGCCAGAATGGGCAAGGAGCACTCTAGTGGGAAACTGGATTAGCTTGCTAACTGGGACTGTCTTATATTTAAAGTGACATGCACTGGATCCCGTGTCCAGGGATTCACTCAGACAGCTCGATAGATGAGTATCTGAAGTATGGAGTGGTACACCACTAAATGCTGGCTAGCTCTCCAGAAGAGAATTGGTGTTGTTAAAAAGAGACTGGTACATACAGTCAGATCCATAAATATTGGGACATCGACACAATTCTAACATTTTTGGCTCTATACACCACCACAATGGATTTGAAATAAAACGAACAAGATGTGCTTTAACTGCAGACTGTCAGCTTTAATTTGAGGGTATTTACATCCAAATCAGGTGAACGGTGTAGGAATTACAACAGTTTGCATATGTGCCTCCCACTTATTAAGGGACCAAAAGTAATGGGACAGAATAATAATCATAAATCAAACTTTCACTTTTTAATACTTGGTTGCAAATCCTTTGCAGTCAATTACAGCCTGAAGTCTCGAGCGCATAGACATCACCAGACGCTGGGTTTCATCCCTGGTGATGCTCTGCCAGGCCTCTACTGCAACTGTCTTCAGTTCCTGCTTGTTCTTAGGGCATTTTCCCTTCAGTTTTGTCTTCAGCAAGTGAAATGCATGCTCAATCGGATTCAGGTCAGGTGATTGACTTGGCCATTGCATAACATTCCACTTCTTTCCCTTAAAGAACTCTTTGGTTGCTTTTGCAGTACGCTTTGGGTCATTGTCCATCTGCACTGTGAAGCGGCGTCCAATGATTTGTGAAGCATTTGGCTGAAAATGAGCAGATAATATTGCCCAAAACACTTCAGAATTCATCCTGCTGCTATTGTCAGCAGTCACATCATCAATAAATACAAGAGAAGCAGTTCCATTGACAGCCATACATGCCCACGCCATGACACTACCACCACCATGCTTCACTGATGAGGTGGTATGCTTAGGATCATGAGCAGTTCCTTTCTTTCTCCATACTCTTCTCTTCCCATCACTCTGGTACAAGTTAATCTCGGTCTCATGTGTCCATAGGATGTTGTTCCAGAACTGTGAAGGCTTTTTTAGATGTCGTTTGGCAAACTCTAATCTGGCCTTCCTGTTTTTGAGGCTCACCAATGGTTTCCATCTTGTGGTGAACCCTCTGTATTCACTCTGGTGAAGTCTTCTCTTGATTGTTGACTTTGACACACATACATCTACCTCCTGGAGGGTGTTCTTGATCTGGCCAACTGTTGTGAAGGGTGTTTTCTTCACCAGGGAAAGAATTCTTCGGTCATCCACCACAGTTGTTTTCCGTGGTCTTCCAGGTCTTTTGGTGCTTCTGAGCTCACCGGTGCGTTCCTTCTTTTTAAGAATGTTCCAAACAGTTGTTTCGGCCACGCCTAATGTTTTTGCTATCTCTCTGATGTGTTTGTTTTGTTTTTTCAGCCTAATGATGGCTTGCTTCACTGATGGTGACAGCTCTTTGGATCTTATCTCGAGAGTTGCCAGCAACAGATTCCAAATGCAAATAGCACACTTGAAATGAACTCTGGACCTTTTATCTGCTTGTTGTAATTGGGACAATGAAGGAATAACACACACCTGGCCATGGAACAGCTGAGAAGCCAATTGTCCCATTACTTTTGGTCCCTTAAAAAGTGGGAGGCACATATGCAAACTGTTGTAATTCCTACATTGTTCACCTGATTTGGATGTAAATAACCTCAAATTAAAGCTGACAGTCTGCGGTTAAAGCACATCTTGTTTGTTTCATTTCAAATCCATTGTGGTGGTGTATAGAGCCAAAAATGTTAGAATTGTGTCGATGTCCCAATATTTATGGACCTGACTGTAGTTCCAGGAAGATTGTCCTCAGTTGCCATTCCCTTGGGCATCCCTTACCCTATCCAAGTTCAAATTCCCCTAATAAAAAAAAAAAAAAAACCCCACACACACCACAAGCTCATAGAATGGTTACTGCCTCCTGGATGCACGTTAGTGTGGAAAAATGCATATTGCCTGGCTGTGCAGGACCATAGGGGGACCCAAAACTCAACAACTCCTATGGGAGTAGTGCTACACTTGCTTTACACTATTTATGGGTATCCTGTAAAATGTACTCACTTATATGGTGTAAACTTGGAGCTAAAATTAAACCACTGAGAGCATAGTCTCAGGTGGATGACCAGGTCTTACATCACACTACAGGTCACACACACTTTACCCCTTTTTCCGTCTAGAGCTCTTTGTAAAAGGTACTCAGGTGCTTCTTCACATTTTAACACCAGCCTCTTCATCTGATTCTAGCTCTGTCTTAGGTGTGCATTATATGGCCTCCCTTGCTAAATATTTTGAAACTATGTCACATTATGACAACTAATGGCTTTAATACAGCCATCACTGTCCAGGGCACAAAAGTGCCAGGCCCTTCTCCATCTCACTGTCTCTACCTGAGTCAGATCCTTATTTTCCTGCTCTAAAAAGCAGGTAGTCAGAGGGGAATACCCTTTATTACTATTGCAGAAGTAGCTCTGCAACCAGCTATTGCTGCAATTTCTATTTGTCAAATTGCATCTAACTGGTGTAGGGCAATGAACAATCAACATGATACTGTATTGACTATTCAGATATTTCAGGCTTTCAGCTGGGTAATCAACTTCCAAAAGGTCTCTCTCCAAACTTCCCTTTGCTTGGAGTACTTGGGTCTCATGCTAAGACACAGCCCAAGCAAAAGTCCTTCTTCCAGAAAAACAAACTGGTCTCTCAGATCTCATGCTTGGGCCTTGAAATCAAATAACTGTTCCTCTGAGTATCTGAGAGTTCTAGGCCTAATGGTGGCCTCCGTCAAGGCTTTCCTATTCACCGAATTCCATTCAAGGCCTCTCCACCACAACACCTTGTTGTCATGTACAAACATTTCTTAACCTTGCCTATGCTCTGATCCAGCCAAGCAAGGAACTCCCTAGTTTGGTGGGTTTTCAACTCAGCCTTGGCAATAGAGAAGTACTTTCTAATATAGCACTGAAAAGTGACAACAGATGCTATGGTCACCAAAGGAAGCCAAGCTCCCCATCACTATCCTGGAGCTCAGAGCAACTGAAAAGGCTCACTGGACCCCCTTTTTTCAGGGGCACCTAAAAGGGGTGCAACTGGACAATGTCACAGCTTTGGCCTACATCAGTCACCAAATAGACACCAGGAGTCATGTAACCTCAAAGGAAGCCAGCCTGATCATCTTATGGACAGAAAAAAACTCTCTCCAGCGATCACTATTATCTACATCCCAGGCGTGAACTATTGGAAGGAGGATAACCTCATTTCTCACCACCTGGACCAAGGTGAATGGGTTCCTCATCCCGACATTTTCACAATGATATGGCAGAGATGGGGGAATCCAGACATGGACATCCTGGCCTCCAAGTTTAACAAGGTACCCTTGTTTGTGGCCAGGAACTAGGATCCTCTAGCACTGACATTAGAAACTCTGATAATTCCCTGGTCTCAGTTCAGGCTAATCTATGCCTTTCCACCAGTGCAATTTCTGCCTCGACTACTTCGCAAAATACAGCAAGAGAAGAAACCAGTGTTTTTCACTGCACCTAACTGGTCCCAGAACCAGGACCTGGTACATGCTCCGACTTTTAGAAGACAACTCCTAGACATTTCCAAACAGCTCAGACCTTCTATCTCAAGGCCCCCTGTTCTATTCGGTTTCTCAGTCACTAGGTTTAACAACATGGCTGTTTAAGTTCAGGTCTTTAGAGAGTCTGCCATTTCCACATTGCTAAAAGCAAGGAAAGACACCTACAGAAAGATCTACTATCATAGAAATCTCTCTTTACCTAGAGTGAACTCAGGCACTTCAATCCCAGAGATTACTCTTAAGGGACAGGTTTTG